AAGAGGAGTAACTTTTATGAAATCAAGACTAATGAAATATTTTAAAAATTTTAAAAACTACAATATATAACTCTTACAATTTAAAGGATCGACTTGAAAGTTTTCCTTTATTAAGAGTAAAAATTTAGAAAATGAAGAATGTTTATATTATATAATTGTTTGGTATTAATAAAATTAAAAATTAGTGATAGACAATATTCTTTTAAAAAAAAAGTTAGAGGAGAAATATTAAACGTATGTGAAACCAAATATTTTAAACTTTCCTATATTAAATTGTTGCTTGAAATTATATATGCTTTTAAAATTTTTATTTATTGTTTTTGGTTTCTTCAATCTTATTTCAATCCATTATCTTCTTTTAACCTAATAACCAAGGGTTTACTAGATTAGTAATTGAAAACAATGTCCATGAAACAATAATTTCTTCTTCTTTTTTATCTTAAATACTTATCTTCATCAAACATATGTACTTACCTAATAATTAAAAATATGGATAGCTAGTTTAGTTGACTGTATATGGTAAAATTTTGGGATAATAAATAAATAAATTCAAATTCAGCAATGTTTTAGGGAATAAAGTTTTTTTTTTTTAAAGAAGATGATGGAAAAAGTATAATTTTTAACATTTGTTTTTTTTAGATTTTTGTAAATAATAGGAAAGATTTTTTAAGAAAAAAATAAAAAATATTTTATATAGTGAAAATGATGGGATTAATTTAACGAAGACCAATAGAAGAATTAACATATCCTAAAAAAAATCTTGAAGAGTTAATTTGTGACTTTATTTTAAAAAATTAAATTTAGTATTCTTTTAGTAACTAAATTCAAATTGGATCTTTTCCATAAATTCCATTTGTTTTTTTTTTTAAATGTATGATTGATTAACAAAATTGTTGTAAAAAACATACACATATTTCAAAAGTAGATAGTTTTGAAAACGATTAAAAAAAATTATCACACACTTTATTGCGTGAACACTTCTATGCATACATGATATGTTAGTCACACGTTAACCAACATATGAATATGACTAAGGCATCTAATTTTCAATAACTACCATAGTTAGTTTTCAACCAAAACTAGTTTCATTGATTTGAATAATACACATCACTTACAATTAATTTAGATATGCAAGTGACATCATTTTAAACTTGTTTCTTAACTCTCTAAACTCGTTTATCTTTAGTAGCTTAGTCAATATATCAACAATCTAAGAATTTGTGCAACAATACTTTATTTCAAGTCTTCCTTTATTTACTTGGTTCCTTAGAAAATGGAACCTTGTCTCTATATACTTACTCCTTCCATGTAAAATAGAATGTTTTGCTGAGTTTATAGTCGATTTATTGTCAACAAATAACTTTATTGGTTTTGAGTCCCTTTTCAAGGTCTCCAAATTCTTAGATTCTTCTATTGCGACCACAATATATTCAAATCGAGGTAACAATGTTCATTGGATCTTTTCTACTATCATCTTATCCGTTAGCTTCTCATTACATGTTTTCATCTAATTCGTAATGGTTTGAATCTAATAAAATACTTTACTACACTTTCTTGGTCATGCATCGATAGTAGCTGATATTGTCTACGCAAATATTGCAGTCTCAATTTTTTCACCTCGTCTACACCTTTGTATGATCTTTCAAGAATATCCCATGTCTCCTTTGTTGTGTTAGCTGAAATTATTTTTTTCGAAGTTTGTTGTATCAACACTAATGAATAAAAAACAGTGCTTAATATTTCTTCACATTTTTGTGGGTTGTTTTCTAAGGTTTGGATGGATTGTTTCCCAATTCTTGAACATTACTCTGGACAACTTTTAACACTTCATGAAAACCAAAATGACTTTCATCTAAATACACCACTTCTCAATGTTCTTGCCAATAAGAATTGAAAATTTGCAGAAGGACCATTAACCCCACCACAATTCACTTTTCAGGATGTTGAAAAGAGAATTACTCTCCTTGGGCACTACTAGGTCCCAAAAAAGAAAAGCTCTTGATACTAATTTATGCTAGCAAACATACATACATTTCACATATAAAAAACAAATACAAAAAACGATCACACAATTGTATTTATAACACTTGTATTTATATATGATAGGTCAATCTCATGCATGTTCACTAAACCATAAATATGACTAAAACACCTGACTACCAATAACAACCAAATAGTTTTTAACTGGACTAACTATCAAAACTAACTCCACAAATTTGAATTTTACAGATAAAAAATGTGGAATTCGCTGTATGGACTTTAACAATTCCAACGTAGTTTGAACTTCCTGATGTACTAGCTTGTAATTGAAGGATTTTATCTCTGCAAAGTGTAGAGGCAAAATTAACTTTTAAAGAGGATAAGCCAGCCATATGCTACATGATTAGAATTTGTTCCCCTTTAATTTTTCTTTTCCACCTTTTACCTTTTTTGTCATCTGTTTTAACAAATGCACACCCAGAAATACATCAGGATAAGCCAGCCCAAGCTCCCTTGGGGGATTCCTTCCTTATATCCACATTAGAGCCAGCAATTGTTGCTTGTTTACTTTGATCTTTATAGGAAAATGCTTGAAGTTGATACCTAACGAGATTTTGACTCAATATGCACATTAATTACCTAATACGAGTCCTGGCAAGCGACAATGTTGGCTGACTTTTGTGGTTAAAAGTATAAGCTTTTGATGTTTGAACAAATAATTAATGGATATTTCAAGGCCTTTACACCTTCTAATTTAGCACTCAATTCTTTTAGCATGTCTAAAGACTTACGCATAATACAAATTTATAAATTATAAATTTATATTAAAAACGTATAATCTCACAAAATAAATATATATTAATAACATTAAATGTTACAAGTTTTAATAAAATTTACTAGTTATCAACTTTTTATTTTATATCCTTACATACATGTTTAAAAAAATTATTTAGCACTAAAACAATAAAAAATGCTGATAAAGAATAAAAGATTATTAAAAAATACACCTATCTTTATAATTTTCAATACATTTTAATATATTTTAATAGAAAATTATTATTTATTAATTTTTTAATCAATAACAAGACCTTAAATCAATTTAAAGTCTCAAAATATTCCATCCGGATCCCTTAATATGTGGACTGTTCCTAAATGGAAGCTGGCTTATTTACTAATTTCTGATTGTGATATGTCAATGCAAACAAAAGGAAGTGGCGAAGAGATATTTGGTATGTGCTGTTTATTTGTAAGTGGCATGTTGTTGAATCATAAAGCAGGTGTGTGTTAGAAAAAGGGTAGGTACTGCATTTTAAGCTGATGCAGATTTCAGCTTCTGTAGATCGTTGACAACTCTTTTGGCCTCAAATCCATAGTAATTTTAAATTTATTATATTCCAACAAGATAAGACATGTCTAATTCGTAACTTCCGACTCATCAATCCAACACCTCAATTATTTTATCGTAACGAAGCTTCAACATCACAATTGCTTCATCATCCCATTACTGGGGAAATTATAAACTTTCTTAAGAACAGCATTAGAGTAAGATTCTGATATCTAAGAATAAACTCAAGTGGCTCTAAATGCATTTCTACTGTACATAGACGTAGCCCACTGACAACTAGACACCACACAGACATCATATCTTGAGAAAAACTGATTTAGAAACTCAATATCTCTTCTTTCCCCTTAACTTTTTCTCACCATTATTAACAGCTTTTGGGGACCCCTTTAACTTCCAGAATAGGAGTATTACATTATTATCAATAAAAAAAAAAAAGATTGTGAACAACCAGCGACAACTCGATCCACTATCTTTAGTGTATTTGGTCCTTTTCTAATATTGAGCGTAGAGTTTGCATTTATGTTTACTTAAAATGTGCTCCCTCTTTCTATATTGCCTACCATGCGTTATTTGCCGTGCCTACTCATAGTAACAACAAAATCAAGTCCATCTTATGTCTTGGATGGACCATACCGTGACCAATCCCACATTTACTGTACCACCATGCCAATGTTTCTGCGTCCATGTAACTTGTGGTCTATACAAACTATATCTTTACCATATCAAATTTGTGGCTCGTGAAACACCAAGAGTCCAAAATCAATTAATGTAGCAATCTAACAGTGCTCTATTGTTTGCAGGATACAGTACGGGCTAGCCTGTAACTGTTTAATTAATGGGTAAGAAGTCTCCTCTAGATTGGGAATAGGGATCAAGAACTACCAAATTGTAATCACTCTGATTTTTAATTGAAGTTTTCTCTGTGCTAGAAATTCTTATGCGTACCAAAGCAATATATTTTTTTATAATTTATTGTTATAACTAAATGTGTCATCTTCTAGCAAAAAAAAAAGGTGTCATCTCAACTTTAGCCTTCATACTTTTTCTCACTTTTACTATATTTTAAATACAACATTGATTTCTTAGCATCATAACTTTATATTCTCTTTTCCTTTATTTCTCTTTTCCTTTATTTCTCTTTTTTATTATCATATTATTTATCATATTTATCAACTTTTTTTTTTCTCTTTCCTTCTTATCCCTCCGTATTCTCAAGGTGTACCCATTCCTGTTGAGGTGGAATTCGAATTACTTGTTTTATTTATCTCTCCTTTTGGTTGTTCCAATTATAATAATGGTATTTTTCGTAAATAATATCTTATATGTTTAAATGGCAACACTCTTTTTCTCCGTTAGTTATTACTTATTAATTATTTTGTTAATTTGTGATTGGATTTTGTTAAAAGTACAGAAATCCTTTTGTAAATACCACCCAAGAATTTCTCTCATCATGGTAGCATTATGTTTTACGTACAAACAACGATTCCAATACGTATTGTTCCAGAATTTTCATGCCACGTATGTGAAATATAAAAATATAAAATGTAATCCGACTCTAACAGTACATGACACTATTAATAGTCAAGGGTCTATTTTAAATCCACCACTGAGAACCTAAATAGATGCTATAAGTAGTGTAAACCTTAAGACAAGTCGGAATCTGAAGCCATAAATTGCCAACACCACCAGATGACATTAGCATTGTCCCAATTCCCCCTCTAAAGTATATGCAAAACTCGGTGGGAACACAGGACATGGCGTAGTGCTGAGTTCACAAAAGATAACACTTCACAAAAATAATAATCAGCTCCCACTTCCAATCCCTTGCATTCAATCAATCATTCCACCCCCTTTTCATCCTTACTTAAGATCAAGAACTCCAATTACCATACCCCTCTACCCAAAAACCATTCTGATCTCACAGATTCGTTATTATGACCTTCACCAAGGAGGATGAAGTTGATGATCATGTGTCAATCAATAACAATTATGTAGATGGTGGATCACAGAACATTGACACCAACGAAATTGTGACACCTGAAGAGGATAACTTTGGAGAATGGTTGAGTTTAGGCCTAAAAGGAGACATGCCTCATGAAGCAGTGGAACAAAACCAATACTCCCAATCAAAACCTCTCCACAACAAGGTATTCTCATGCAACTTCTGCATGAGAAAGTTTTATAGTTCACAAGCCTTAGGGGGTCACCAGAATGCACACAAGAGGGAAAGAGAAGCAGCCAGAAGTTACCAATCTCATAGGATGATGACAACATCAATGGGATTTTCTTGTTCTTCTTTGGCATCTCGGTCACTGGGAATTCAGCCCCACTCGCTTGTGCACAAGCCAAGCAGAGAAAGGACTAATATGGTGGCTAGATTCAATGATGCCAGTTCTGGGATTAATGGAATGGCATCATGGGCATGGCCACCCTTTATGCTTGAACAAGCCGTTGATTTCATATGGCCAGGTAGCTTTCGAATGGATTTGCCAAAGCAAGAATCAAATATTAATAAGCTTGACTTAGATCTTCGCCTCTGATGCTTCAGAGTCCTGATTTACCCCTCTGCTGCTTTCTTCTTGATTTCCATATGCTATGTGTAACTTGTGCTAATAAGATGTCACCGATACTATTGTAATTCAGTAGTTGCATTAATTGTTTCGAGATTGGAAACAGCGATGTCGATGTGTATTACAAGTTTACAGTACATTAAAACTTATCCTTTTTTTTATTAAATTTCTTTATCATATAACAATAATATTTGTTAGAGTAAAGTAGACTTATTCATCTAAGTTGCATGTGAAAATTTTTTAACAAATATGAAGATCCATTATTAGTTTGTTATTATAGTTTTGTCCATATGCAAAAATTAAATATAAAAGGGTTTGTAATTTTATTTAATAAAAAATTATAAAATAATAAAATTATGCTGCGAGTTTGTAAAAATAAATAAAAAGTCTTGAATAATTAAAATTTATATATGTTATCTTCTTTATTTTCTCCTTGTATATGTATTTTCGGGAATAAAAAACATATTAAGGACTCTTCTCTTTCCCCAACAACATTGTGAACGACTTTGATAACTTCCCTTCATACAATTGATATACGAGAATGAAAATAAAAGAGGAGGATTGATCTTCTTGTATTTCCGCTGAAGCTACACTTATTTCCATCCAGCATGCAAGTGACAATGTAGCATCAGAGCACAGGTTAGACACAACAACAAAAGTAACAAAGCTAAAACTGTAAAAAACCACTGCTAAAGCTGTAATTGAGCACTATTAATTAGTTTTAAAAGGTGGTTATATGAATAACGAGTTGGCATTTGATGTGGACAAATTCTATCTTCACTTTGTCGATTTATCTTTGTATCATTACTCATCTTAAGGTTCCATTAGGAAAACCATAGCAAAAAAGGAGTCTAGCTCTATACGAGAAACTCCTATTCAAAACTAAGTCAATTAATGGGTTCCCTTCATTGTATTTTATTTTTGAAACATCTTAGAAAAATATGTAAAAAAGTGAATAAAACTTCTTTTATAATTTTTTTATGAATAAATCATGTATTTTAAGTTTTGTTGTTGTTTTTGTCCGTGTGTATTGTAATTGTTATAAGTCTGGATGGTTAGGCCCAAATTGATAACAACTAACATGGTTGGGCCACAAATAGCCACCAATCATTTACTTGGCTGAGGGTTTGTTTGAACCCATTAAATATCCTAGCTTGCTTTCCATTGCACTCCCTACCAGTAACACCCAAAGAATTAATTTTAGTTATCATCTCACACTATCCATGGTAAGAGCTTGCAAAATATTCAAAGATTATGGGACGCATGCCAAGTTGAATTTACCTTATGAAGGGGTTTTGGTATCCAAAATATTCAAGTGAGGCTTTGTTTGGAAATTAAATTTAGGAAGGAAACTAAGAAAATGGAGAGATTTGTACATCGGAAACTCTTATTTGAAAGTTTTAAAATATAAAGATAAGATTTTATAAATCTTTGAGAACCTCATATAAACTATATTGTGTTTATGTCTTCCCAAATTAGAATATATTTTGTGAACACTAATTGTACGTTTGATATTTTTGGTCAATAAACCATAGTACGATGCCATTCTGCACGTGGTACCTTGGTACTCAGCTAAGCATCATACTGGCCTGCTAGTCACTCTGTCCTTGTCAGGAAATGCATTTGGGCTTTCCTAATAAAGTTGATGGGTCTCAAGTCACTTCTCGAAATCGGGGCTGCTGTTGGAAGGTGTTTACTAATTTTGGGTTTAAGTATATCGTTTTTCAACTTGTCCAAATTCCGTTTTGCTCCTGCAATTGCATTTTCCTAATAAATGTGCATTTTGCTCCTACAATTGCAAGTTTATAGAATTTTCTCATACTTATGGACAATACCTTCTTTGTAATAGCAAGGATCGTGCTTATTTTTAAGTTTCCTTTAACTTCAGAAAGATAATTTGAATCTAACGGTAACTAGTTTTGTATTCTTGATTATGCAAATGGTGAGGAGTTTGATTGTCCTTAGGTCACTTTGATCCATTTATTGCACAGAGGCTTGAACGCAACTTGCAAATACAGTGTGCTTTGGTTGTTGCATGTAACAATGGTCGCTACAAGAGGTGGTTCACCGTCGATGCGTCACTCATAAAATTGCCTAAATAACCTGTCATCCAACCTATTCATCACTTTTCCGATGAGCCATGCAGTAAAGAACGGCTCCATCTTCTCTGTCTTCAATTAACTTTAATTCTAAAATTTTAACTCTAAAATCAATCGGAACCAACTGGTGCCCACCCTAATTACAATGCACTAATGAAATAATAATTTTAATGTATTTTGAAATGAATCGGGATATTAGTTAATTTAGTTTTAATAAAATAAAACAACAATTATTATAGGTTATAAAGAGAAATATCATTAATATTTGGTGACATAATTTTTTTATATCCAGTTGAAATATAAAATTCACTAAATTGGAAATAGAATCCATAAAATAATGAGAAAAACCTACTTCATTCAGTATATTTGCCATAAATGTTAAGCTATAACAGTAGTTATAAAAAGTGTAAACATTTTTTATCTTCAAAAATAAAGTTAGCTTATCTTCCAAAGCATTTATTAACTCAAACAAATATTTATAAAAAATTATCAAGTTGATCTATAAAATTAACATCATTGATAGTTTGACCTTTGACGTTTAAAAACATTAATTTGGTAAGCCAAATCGGCTCCATTTTAGTTAATCATTATCATTTAATTTTGTTTTTAACTTTAATACGCATTAACGACTAAGTTAATTTACGATGATTGTCAATAGTTATGGCAATAAGAAAATATTAAATTTATTTTTAAAATTATAAGTATTTGTTAATTTAATCTTTTAAATTAAAATATTATTTAGTCTATAAAGTTATTGATCTTTTAAGTTACAAAATGACAATCATTTTATCTTTAAAATTAGAACATAAAGATTAAACTGACCTATATTAATAAATTTATCGTGAACTAATATGATACTTTTATAATTTTAATAACTAAATTAATTAGTATTTATAATTCAAAAACTAATTAAGTAAATAAATAACAAGCATTTTAGATAAAAACTTAAAAATTAGTCCATGTTTGCACTTATCGGGCACTAATAAGGAAAGTCGATCAAGAAAGAATTGGAAAAGGAGTGACCTCTTAAGTACAAGGGCATTCAATTATAGAAGGAAGAAGTTAAAAAATCACTAAAACAATAGTTTTGGTAATAGATTAGGCATTAGGAATAGGAATAGGAATAGGAATAGGTAGACAACATATTTGCTTATCTTGATGGAAACTGGTTTGTCAATTGTCATTTCCAGAAGACATGGAACATATTTAATAGGGTAGGAATCAAATCTGTAAGCTGATATAAAGGGTTGGAATATACCTGTATCTGTATGGGAGGCATGTGAGGCTAAAAAGGGCGTCAAAATAAAAGGCTTGAATACACAAAAATGATGAAAGAATGGAGATGTTCGTTCGAAAGGCATTCCGCAGATAAAATGAATAAGGTTGACGCTCCAATATACCTCTCTCTGGCTAGACACATTTTTCACGCTCATTGCCTTTCCTCACTCACCAACCTTACTACCTATCGCTACCACCCTATAAACCCTCAAAGTCAAGACTCTAACAGGCCCGGCCACATGTGTCCGTTAAACATAATTTAAAATATATATATATATATTCTTCTTTTGATAATTTTTAATATTTTTTAATTTTTTTAAAATAAATTCTACTTTCAATATTCTTCTTAATTTAAACAATATCTCACACTTCATTTTTTTTTTAAAAATATTAAAATAATATTATTTGAGACTGTAATATTATTTTTGAGAGAATGCTTACATCATTAGTAGAAAAAGTTATACTATATGAGGTAAAAAATGTTTACTTCATTATGTTTCTTTGACTTTATATTTTTATTTTTTTTCAACTAAGATAATGAAATATTTTCTTTTTAGTCTCAAAAAATTGCTTTTTCAAATAGACAATTTGGCTATCCTTGCTAAAATTACTTTGAATTTTTTTTTTTTAAATCAGTACTCTCCGACTTTAACATGTTATTTTATTTCATAATATGTATTTTAAGGCAAATTCAGGACATCATTTGTATCTACTCTCAGTTAAAAAATATCATTAGAGTTCTTTTTCTAAAAAAAATTAACTATTTTTCTATGTATTTCTTTTCTCTTAGCATATCTAGTTTCATCTTAAACAATAAAAATATGTATTTTTCCACCGTAACAACAAAACCAAAATAATTAGAAAATTTTGAAATATTGCTCGTTGATAAATTTTAAATGGTAAAAATACTTTGTTACACCAATGAAAAAGGTAATTGATTTAAAATGGTAAGAAACTAAAATAAAAAAATAAAAATTAAGTTTAAAATGATATAGTTTTATAAATCAATTACTTATTTAACTCTAACATTTTAAATGATAACTATCATATAAAATATTAGTTCTTAGTCATCACTCGATGACTATTAATTAACAGTAGTGACTATTTTAAAAAAATTATAAAATTAAAATTAACTAAAAAATTTATAAACACTAATTTTTAAAAATAGTATATTTTTAAGACTATTTATTATTTAAGGAAAAATAATTAATTATTATAAAAATAAAAATAAAAATAAATATGTTATTAGATTATATTTAAATAGTTAAATTTACAAAATAATTATATGCATAACCTTTTTAATAATCATATAATATTAATTGATTTTTAATTTTAACTATATATTATTATATAATTCATGTTTAAAATGCTCACAATTTTAAAATAAAAGTTAAATTCGTTAAATACATGTCAAATAATGAAATATTTACAAAGGCAATGATCGTTTGGTGTCAATTTTATTTTATTTTAAAATTTATTATTGTTTTCATTTAATAAAACTTAAAAAATAAATTTTTCTAAGAGTAACTTTGTCTGCTTAATAATTTCTTATAAACATTAAATTTATCAATACAATTATTAAAAAATGTAATACGTGTTCACATTATTATACATATTAAGTTTTAAATAAATCAAAATTTCATATATTGATATATAATTTTATTATTAATATTTAC